AAATGTCACTCTATGTCATTCCACAATGATACATTTTTTGGCTTGACAATATATAAGCTCTTCATTCAACATGCATAATTTTTGAACGGTCGAGTAAAAAAAAGAAACATATCATAAAATATTCTTCTTACGTTTATCATAAAAATTCTCTATATTTTAAATTTATTTGTTTAAAAATAACAATAATTTCAATTTTTTTTTTCATAGATTGAACAAGAATCTAATGTAAAAAGTAATACCAATGCGACACCTACCGTTAAAATAGAAAAGGAAACTTATTTGGAATTGTAACATTTTGGTCCGCCATAACAGCATCTTCGTTTTGCTTCTCTGTGATTGGTCAAGTAAAACGAAGATGCTGTCATGGTGGACAAAAATGCTACAATGGATACCAACTAAGTTTCTTTTTGCATTTTTACGGTAGGTGTCGCATTGTCATTACTATTTACATTGGATTCTTATTTAATCGATGAAACATTTTTTGTTGAAATTATTGTAATTTATAAACAAATTAATTTTTTTATAAAAAAAAAATTTTAATAAATTTTTTAATGAAAAATGTTAGAAAAATATTTTATGACATGTTTTTTTTTCAACGATTCAATAATTATGAATGTGTATGCATTTTAAATGAAGAGCTTATATATTGTCAAGCCAAAAAAGTATTATTGTGAAATGACAGAGTGACATTTACATCAGCGCCGTATATCGAATTAATTTCGCTTGGCATAGGGGGAAATATTTTGACAGATAGTACTCGATCCTTTCTTTCAATTTCTTTGAGATTAAACTATGCCTCAAAGACATGCGATTCGGAACTCAGTACAACTAAGCGATTTATATTTTCAGAATATGAAAGTACATCTTACTGGACATCTGGAACCAATTTGGGCAATACCAACAATCGATTTTACTGGATGGGAAATGGTCGCAGTGTAATTTTCACCAATTGGATCAACAGCAGTTATCCGGACAATCCATCTCATGAAAATTGCATTGAGTTGAATTATCAAGCGAACTTCAAGTGGAATGACTTACGTTGCACGAAAAAACGATATTGTATTTGCGAATAAATGCTGCTATTCCTATTTCTTATAAAAAGTCATTGAAAATACTCTTCAAAATGATATCCAACGATGTCGACATTGTCGAATCAATGAATAAGCTTTAACATAATGGATTTTTAATTTAAAAAAATGAAAAACTTTCACGCTAAACCAGAGGTACTAACTGGCAATGGTGAGATTAATTCGTGTCTTGTAAGTGTGAATAAAAAATTGTGGTCAATTATTAAAGTTTTGTGGATTTTTTTGAGAACTTGAAAATATTTTTGCCGATTAGAGTCAAAGGCACCGCTTGTTCGGCGTAAAAATCGGTGCGTATTTTTCATTATTTTTTTCTGATTTCGAAAAGTACCAAATGGATCCAATGTATTTATTTGGAATTGACCGAGACTATCAGTCACCAAAAAGTGATGTCACTCTTAATATTTGCTATTAACAGAATATTTGTTATTTGTTATCAACAGTAAGTCAGCGCAACTTATTGACTTTGTAAGAAGGTAAAAGAGAGAAGTACTCACGTAATATGTGGCAATGGTAAAAATAATTTGGACCTCTGCCTCTTTCACTCTCACACAATATGAAGGAACGATGTCACCCAATCGTAAATAAAACAAATTTTGATACCACATTTTTGTATCAACAGCTAAAAGTGTCGATGAATGACAACTAGACATTATATTGAGATATTTTCAGCCAGATGAATCAGCTCAGCCAGATGTCAGTCAAGCGCTGAAATGGAGTGAAGCAATGTAAGTTCAATTATAACCATAACAATCACTTCTATTGTTTTCAATCAACGATATCTGGCGCTCCGCCTGGCTTCATCTGGCTGAAAATATCTCAATATAATATCTGATGACAACAACTGGATCTGATTAAAATCCTCCGATACCGAAGGGTAATTATGTGCCATAAATGTTTGTTAATTCTTATCAATTTAGATCAAAAAAATGAAAAAGCTTCAATTCACGTAATCACCGTAAAATATAGACTGAAATCTATGTGTAATAAAATATATGCAACGCGGTATTGAGTAGCCATTCATAAAAGATTGAATTTCGATATTTGTGTCTTTTAATTTGATAGAATTTGTCTCATTTTTTTGCCATTTCAAAGGTTTAATAATAATCACAATCATCTTTGAGCTACATTGAAATATTGTGATTGAAGAACCCGTGCGAACCAAACTGTCGAACTGTTAATACCATTGTAAATGCTCACGAAATATGCGGTAATGGTAAAAAAATCATCCAAAAATGTGTTGTTTACTTCGAGAAGAAAAAAAGGTGCTAATTAAATAAAGTGGGTTTAATTGAAATGCCACATGTTCGGACGTTAGATAGTGAAGAGTAGAGTGGGAATTTCAAACGTTTGTTTTCAATGTAACGAAAATGAAACGAAGAAATTGGGTAATGTGTGAATTAAATTAAATTTGAAATCATCAAAAAATCATCGATCATCCGTTTGACTGAAAAAGAAACCCAAATCCGTATCAATGATTAGTGCCATTTTGGCTGAGCATTCGTTTGGTTCGTTCAAATATTTGATGCTCACACGAAGACGGGAAAAAAGTGAATAAACGGTCAACATGTACTTGACGGCTTGGCTTCTATTGGGAACAGTCGCATTCAGTTTGTTCACGTTAGTACGATTCTTTATCAAATTCAATCGACGCAAGCAACGAATTTTAAAATATGTTCAACATTTATCATCACCAAAAGAGTACCCGATTATCGGCAGTGGACTTCGATTTTTTGGAAAAAGCAGCGAAGGTGAGTACATTGAAATACATGTGTGTGTGAATATGACCTGAAAAGAAAGTGCAGTGTGCAAAGAAAATCGAGTTTTTAAAGTCGAACAAGTTCTAGTCCATGCAAAAGTTCTGATCGATAACATATTACAATCATGTTTCGTTTTAAAATTGAGAAAACAACTAGAAAACAAAAATACCCACAAGGTGTGCGGAAAAGTAAAATGGAATGTTTGTTTAAAAAAAAAATTCAATTTTTAATTTCGAAGAAATGATGAAAGAAGCAGTGGAGTTTATGGAACAAATGAAAACGCCGTTTTATGCTTGGTTTGCTGGTGCTTTAATTTTGGTGATTGATCATCCAGACGATGCGTATACAGTGCTTACTTCAAAATCCTGCATGGAAAAGGCATTTGTTTATAAATTTTTCAATATGGGCGCCTCTTTGTTCACGGCACCAGGTGAGTTTTCTATTTCAAATCACCGAAAATGTAGCGATTCTCAGTGTTTTATCGTCCATTACGAGAAAGATTTTTTCATTTCGTTGCTGCTTTTATTCAACTCTTTAGAGATTCGAAGTTTTCTCCATTTTTTTTTCCATAAGTAACACCTTCAACATCAATTGTTTGCATTAATTTCAGTAAGTGTATGGAAGCCGCACCGAAAAACCTTGAACACAACATTCAATTTGAAGATTTTACAGTCATTTGTGCCAATATTTTGCGAGAAAGTCAAATATTTGGTACGAAATCTGGGCGAAAAGGAGAATGACGACTATTTTGACATCACACCTATGATGCATACTTGTGCGTTAGAAATGGTTTGCGGTAAATATATTTGGTTCGTGTGAAGAGGAACCAAGAACAACCGAACTGAGTATACCAATTTTCGTATGCATTACATTGAAATAAGTTGACAGTGGATTCAGTTAGATCGTTCTACTTTTCTTCATTTATTTTTTTCAATTATAACCGCTTAACCCCTTCTGAAACTGTTGTATTCAATCAATTGTTAAACGGCGGTGTTTTTACATTAAAATTAGCAAAAAATGATGAAAAATCTTTCGAATTGTCTTTGCAGCGACGACAATGGGAGCAGACATCGAGGCTCAAAATGGTAAAAATGCTGATTATGTTGAGGCTTTGGGCAGGTAATATCAAATCTCCATTGATTTGATGCACCATTTATAAAGGCTACAATCGTGTCTTGTTTCAGTTATTTGGCCGGTGTTGCAAAGCGAACGTTCAACTTTTTTTACCATTTTGATTTTATTTACAAACATACAAGTGCTTATCAAAATGATCAAAAATATACGGAAATTGCTGAACGATTACCATGTCGAGTAGGTTTCAAACGACATTTTACTTTGACTCGAACAAATTTTGATATATGTATATTTCCGTAGGTGATTGAAGAGCAAAAACAAGCCTTTTTCCAAGAGAATCCAATGGGAACCAGCGATGATAATACACCCGAAATTGAAGAGGATGATGCACGTTGCTATGAAAGTCCACAGATTTTCTTGCGTCAACTGTTTAAATTGTACAAAAAAGGATTGATCGATGATAAAAACATACGCGATCAAGTTTATTTAATGGTAAAAAAGCCTTTCCGTTCATATTAAAATGAAATTCTGAATGATTTGTTTCACTGTTTCAGATTTTTGCTGGCAATGACACCGCTTCTCTAACGCTTTCGTATGCGATTCTGTTGTTAGCAATACATCCCGAGTATCAAGAATGTGCATTTGCTGAGGTCGATCGTGTATTTCAAGATCTACCGTCAGACGACAGTCTGACCTACGATCATGTTGTCAAATTGGAATTTATTGAGCAAATTTTGCGTGAAACTCTTCGCTTAAATCCAGTTGCACCGTACATTTTACGGCATTGTCAAGAAGATACACAAATTCGTGATTGTATAATACCGCGTGACACAACGGTTATCGTAAATTTGTACACAATGCATCGCCGTGAAGATATATGGGGTTCGAATGCGAACGAATTCAATCCGCATCGTTTCAGTGCGGACGAAGTGAAAAAACGCAATCCACACGCATATGCACCGTTCAGTTTGGGCCCACGGAATTGCATCGGTATGCGATACTCGTATATGGCAATGAAAGTGATTTTGGCAACATTGCTGCGCAATTTTCGATTCACAACCAATTTGAAAATGTGCGACGTTCGCATGCGATACGAAATTACATTGAAAAATGTACGCGGCAATATGGTGCGAGTGGAACGACGAAATTTTAATAAGTGATTACAAGTTTTTATTTATTATTTTGAAAAAATTTGGGAATGTCTAAAGATACGGTTTTTACTTCATTTTGAATGTAAGTGGCATTTTCTCGGTAAATTAAGTGAATATAAGTTTGAATTCTGAAATAAAATTCTCTTAAATTTTGTACCTTGAACTTGGTGTGTTTTTTCTTTTTAACAATAAAGTTGTGTAGTTGAAGGTTTAAAATCAGTTTTTCAATTTTTGAATATGGAATGTATGCTTTAGCGCTGCGTGCAAATGTGAAAGTCGGTATGTACACATTCAATTAGAGAAGCCATGTTAACTGTGGTTTTTCATTCAGAAATGTTAAACTTAGACATTTTCACACATTTTTTCTCCCGCACGTCTAATGAAAAAAAGCGTTTTAATTTGAATGAATGTGTATTTTGAAACCTATTTGGAAATAACAAAAGTAGTAATAAACAGTTTTATGTTCGATTTTAACCAATGGACTGCAAGAGAATCCATTTGTAGATGGATCGCAACGAATACTAAATTTTGAATGGAGCATCTTAATGTCAATCTAGCAGCAGATTCTTGTTAAACAATTAAATATTCCTTAAAAATGAATTTTCGCAATGAGAACATTTTGTAGAAGTGAGATAAATTCTAATGTAACGCAAAAGTAAAACCAAACCCCAAACTTCGTGTCACAAAAACGAGATCGAGAGGCCAACCTTGAGAGATTCCTTTTTTAATTGTATAAATCGCGTAAGTCTAGTCGATTCAACCGGGTTTTTCATTCTAGAATTTTATTCATTTATTTGGAATATTAAAAAAGGTGTAACAAAACAGGTGACATTAAATTTATTTTCGGTTCAAGCTAATTGCTGGTCAATGACTCATAGAATTAAGACAGTCATACACCAATCTGTTTTTGTTTGGTTTATTTTAGTATTCGAAAACGGGTTTGAGTGAAGAAAGATTTTTTTCGTTCATTTTCAACGTCCGGATTTGGATTTCGAACACTCTTTCCTCAAAATTTCGTTTGATTTATAGCACAAAAAGAAGAATAAATATTTGTTCTAATAAAGTTACGATAATTGAATTTCATGGAAGAATGGCATTTACGAAAAAAAATGAGTTTGTTTACTTTTATTAGCGTTAACTTGATGCCGATTAATGGTTTCATTCAATTTTTACTTTGATGATTCGCAAAATATTGGACACGCATCAATTTAAAAAAAAAAAAAAAAACGTGAGAAAAGTAGCTCAATTTGTAAACAGAGAAATTTTAGCAGTAAAATTGAACATATCATTCTTCGAAGATTCTTAATGAACCTTTCAATTAGGTCAAACCGAGTTGGACGTATGAAATTGGTGCTAATTTAAAAGTTTTTAGAGACCAGGTTTGACGTATTCAGTCTGATAACATGTTTTACTGGTGGATCGACCAATTTATGCTATATTTATATTGGTTTTTTTGTGAAGTGACAATCAGCTTTTAATAGCTAATTACTAGTAACAATACCATTTCTGCGTTTTAACCACTCGTTGTGTCTCATGACCCGACCTTTTGACTCACTAGCCACCACATGTGAGTAAAAAAACCAAATGTCTCAAATCAAGCCGATAAACTATTTTGTGTAAAAATTGGAACTGGCATTTTTTACACACATTTTATATTATTTGCCAAAACTTATCTCGCCAGTTTTTTTAGCAACAAAATCACGAAAATGAATGTTCCTGAGAGTCACCTCACAAATACGATGCTTCAGATATTGATTAACTCGCCGTCCACATAACAAATAGAACACTGAATATTTTCCAAAAATGTTATGTTAATTTGGCTCAATTAAAAGCGAATGTTATTTCACTTCATACCGGTTTACAAGGGACAGTTGTAATTTTTGGACACAAACTTTAAATTAATTAGTTAGATTCTTGGCATTTAAATGAACCTGTTTTTAAATTGGACAAATTCATTGTTATTGTGACGTTAAATGTTGAATTCGTTTTACTATAAAAGAAATGGACAAATTTCGAGTGGTTTCAGTTGGTTGTTTCTCTTAAGTGCTGTAATTTGTTTCACGCGAAAAGAGGACTCATTTTAAACCAAAAAAAGTGTTCAAAAATTCATTAAAATGTATCTGTTAATTGTGCTGATTTGTATGTTGTTTTGGTTTTTTGTGAAGCATTTGTTGCATTTGTATCGTATGGAGTGCTATGTGAAACATTTGAAATCAACATATCCATTGGTACCAGTGCTTGGAACCAGCTATGGAATGATTGGCAAATCAACATCACAGATCTATGAACATTTTCTACAATTTTCAAAAACAAACGAAACGCCAACCAAGGAGTACTTAGGAAACATTTTGATTATCAGTGTTGATAAACCCGACGATATGAAAACTATTTACACATCGCCGCTTTGTTTAGACAAGCCGTTTATCTATGATTTTCTACCATATCACAATTCAGTTTTCAGCACCAGATGTAAGTGGTTTCTTCATTGCATAGAATAAAATAATAAAGAATTATTTTTCATTGAAAACAGCGGCTGCCGCTTGGAAACCGATCAGAAGACATTTGAATCCAACGTTCAGTATCAAAGTATTGCAATCATTCCTTCCGATTTTTAATGAAAAGGCAAATGTTATGTTGAACAAATTGGATCAGGAAGTTGGACGAGGGGAATTTGACATTTTACCACATATTCAATGGGAAACTTTGGATTCAATCTGCGGTAAGTTTATTTTCTTGATTTGTTTTTGTAAAATGTCAACGAATATTGTCAGTAAAAGTCTGAACTAGCTATTCAAGTTGATTTGTGCATTCGGATTTATTAAAGAAAAATTAATGTTTTCAATATTTCAGCCACTACAATGAAATTTGATTTGAAATCCCAGTCTTATCAAATCGACAAATACTTTCAGGCCACAGATGTGTAAGTAGTTTTAGAGATAGAATTGAAACTTGCCAATCACGTATCAATTTCAGCGATTCAATTGTTAATTGAGTAACGTTACTCCATTGGTAACAAGAGTCAACTTTTACGCGGGTAATGTAGTACCAATTTGAACTACCAGCGGTCTTGCGGATGACGTCAGAAAGATCGATCGAACCAAGCACACAGAATTCTTTATTTTAACATGGATTGGTTCAGCCGCTTTTCAAAATAATATTTTTTGGATTTCTCCTCTCTCTCTCTCTCTCTCTCTCTCTCTCTCTCTCTATTAATCTCTCTTTTCTCTTTACATCGTTCCCTGGATTTCTCTCTCTTTCTCTTCCACGCTCTCCTTCTCGATTTTTCCCCTTATCAGCGGAATTTTCGATACTTTTCCACTTTTTCTTGAATATCTATTCTTAAAAATTTTCTTCATTCCCTTAAACCTACCAAAGATTCTTCTTCTAGAAGAAAAATACATTTTTTAGTCATTTTCATTCAATCATCATTTGTTTTTTTTATCACCAGATTCTTCAATTTGATTTCCAAGCGCTTCATACAACCATGGCTACACATAGATTTCATATACAAACGGACGCAACTTTATAAACAGGAACGGCAATGTCTCAGTACAGTTCAACCATTGATAGATAGCGTGAGTATATCAATTGCAAAATGCCATTTAAAAATTGTTGCAAATTTTTTCTTCGAAATTTCTATAGATATACGATAATGCCGACAAAAACAACAATCACAATATCACAAAAAATATGGATCCGTCCGAGAAGAAACCACAAGTTTTAATCGATCGACTTCTGCACTTACGTTCCGAGGATGAACTCGAAGAAGATATAATCAAAGAACAAATTGAAACTGTACGTATTCATTTAAAGTGCTTATGAATTTTACCTATAACACATTTTTTCTCGCATTAGATTTTGGTAGCTGGAAATGATACGACAGCAACAACACTTTCATTTGCAATTTTAATGCTTGCCATTCATCCTGAGGTTCAAAAAAGGGTTTACGACGAATTGCATTCGATTTTTACGACACAAAATGAAGAGATTCTTGAGCAGCATCTCAATCGGATGCACTACTTGGATTTAGTGTTAAAAGAAACGATGCGTTTATTCCCAGCTGGAGCATACCCACAACGCAGTGCATCGGCAGACATTCCGATTAGCAACTGTACGATACCAAAGGGCACAGTAATTATACTATCGATTTTTTCATTGCATCGGGTATGTTTCATGCATTTTCATTGCATTACTCAGACCATAGCCCGAGCTAACTGGTTTAGTTGATAAAGCTCGTGTTAGCTTGTGGCATACACTTAAAGCATTTCATACGACATTTTTGTAAACAATTTTTCATCCAATAATTTAGAGACAAGATATTTGGGGAAAAGCTGCCAATGATTTTAATCCAGATAATTTTCTTCCTGAAAATGTAAAAAATCGACATCCATTTGCGTTTGTGCCATTTAGTGCAGGGCAACGAAATTGCATTGGTAAGGAAAAAAAATCAGAAAATATATGAATATTCAATGACAAACCCCGAACCAAGAGCGATTGAGTTCAATAAATTTCGAATGTGTCGCATGCACACGCACAGTCGGGTATTTACTTTGTGCGCTACTATGCTTCGGTTCTCTTTGTAATTTGTTGAAATATTTTGCTATCTCTTTTCAGGTCATCGATATGCCATGATTTCAATGAAATCATTGCTAGCAGCCATGGTACGACGTTTTAAATTCACCACCTCCATGAAAATGTGCGATATTGATTTGAAATTTGAAATGGTCTTGAAAATTGGCAACAAACATTTGGTGCAGATTGAACGACGACAATGGTGAACATCGAATCAAATAAAGATTTTAACCCAATGAAATAGACAATGTATTGAGATATTTTCAATCAGATTTAATTTAGTTTGTCTAAATTTGAAATGTGAAAACGTTCATACAATTTGGTTTTTTCTTTTTAATTTTTTGTTTTTATTGACTAGACTCCTTTAAAGAAATAAATAAGAAAATTATGGTACATTTTTAAATATAATCGTTTATTGAAAGAAATGTTGATGCAGACATTATGTAGAGCAAAATGTGTATTCTTTAAATAGTAAAAAATATTAATGAATATTGTTGGAACTTATAACAAAACAGAATTTAAACAATTTATTTATGTGAAGTACTAAAAACTAATATGAACATTTTAAAGTTAACTCAAATCAAATCAGTGTTCAATAGGGAATGAAATCGTCACTACGCGTCATGGACGCGTTCACTAAGAGTAGCTCTTTTTAAAATCACCACGCTGTGGCAAGTAGACGCTTTGCTTCACAAGTAAGATTTCATGCTATGGTGTAGTACCATCTCTCATTATATTTTTCAACACTACAGGGGACAGAAAGCTTTGATTCTTCGAGCTCAAACGGAAATGAAATTTTCAGCATCAAGTTACGATCATGTGCAAGAGCCAAAACTGAGTAGCATTCGTCTGAATAGCTGATATTTTCACTATGAAAACCAACCTTTCGCAAATTTGGACCGTATCTCAGGGCTCGTTTGATTCCATCAATTGTGACTTCAGTAGAATAAACGTTCAACGTCGGCAAAAATGGTAGACTCTGAATGGCGTGTATTAAATCTTCATCTGAATAACACAACAGTCCAAGTGTTTTGAGAGATTTAAATTTGACCAAACTTTCAATAAATTCCGGAATTGCAACTATGGACACATTTTCTAGCGGCACATTATTTTCGGCAAATGAATCAATCAATGTTTGAACCGACATTCCAGGGCAGTGAATGTGTAGAGTTTTCAACTGAAGAAGTCTGCGTAATGCCGAAAAATCCATCTCTTCATGGCTTTCATCAAGGTACAAAGCCAAATGCTCGAGCTTCAATTTGCCAATACATTCTAGAATCTTTTGAGGGCATTTATCTGTCTCTAATTCAAGATGTCGTAGTTGTGGATTGAATTCTATGAATTTAGTTATTATCTCTATTATATCTCGATCGTAATCTGTCTTGTGTACATAAGGTATTTTAGCGATTTCTAATTCTGGAAATTCACGTGCAAGCCAATCAAGCTCATGAATATCCACGTAATAAAATTTCAAACTTTTCAACGGTGGCATCACATTGAAACTACGAAATTTCCCAAAATACACTTCAAAATATTCGAGAGACCGGAACGGTGATCGTGTGCGCAAATCAACAATTTTGCATTGCATTATTCTCAACGATTTCAATGTTTCGCCACAAAAGTCGGCGATAACGTTGAATGTGTCCCGATCAGTTTTAACATCAATCAAAACAATTGAATGTAGAAAGCGACCAAAAATACTCAAAAAGCTGGGTACATGTTCCAATGTTAAAAGAACTCCGATTGTGATGCCTTTGAACCGCTCTGGATAACACTCTTTCGCATTCTCCTGAAATTGAACACAGACCTCGGCTGCGCTCAAAAAGTCATCGATATTTTGCACACGATCAAAAATTTCTTTGATGCAATCATCGTTAAGAGCATTTAAAATGTGATTTTTAGAGTCTTGTGGAGGCGCAACGTTTGTCTTTAACTTGGCATCAGTTTTCATTTTATCAAAATCAGCAGCAATCGAATCGATGTCACTGTTGTCATTTTTTGTAGTTGTAATATTGTGAATCATTTCGACCATTATGGGTGACTCGGTGCTATTATTAAAAGTAATACAAACATAATATTGATTAAAATACTTTCTCGAATTTTAGCTTTTAAACAAATATATACCTATTTATGTTTTTAAAATTCACAATAAATCAACACTGGAAAACTTTTTGTAAACGAAATGATATCTTGGGATCTTTTTTCGAGAAGATGCTTCACTATGAGTGTAAAATATGATGATTTGGCAAATAAAGCTCGACTGACTCGTATAGACAACATAAAATTGTATTTACCCACGTCAGATTGAGTTTGTATTGTTATTTAAGTTGCCGTTGGTGCTAAATATAGGAAGTATTCATGTTAATTACTTGTTCTGTTTTAGCAGGTCAATATGGGCAGTTGTTTAGCTTGGAATATAGGGGTTTATTGTGACTTGGTCTATATACTTTAATCCCTTTCAAAGAAATATTTTTACCTGCCTTGGAAGGTAATACTCGCTTAAGCAGGTGAAGACATTTCTTAAAAAAGGATACCTGCTTAAACTGGCAAAGGTCTGGATTTTTTTTACCAAGAAACACTAAGTGAACAAGAGAAGACGCTTCAATATGTGTGTTTAAAAAACAAATAGTTTTTTTGAAAAACTAATGTGTGTTTAATGACTGGAGCTGTAGTCGTCGAAAGAAAGAAAGAAAGTATTAAGGTCAAGGGCATTTGAATAGCGATTGCTACCTACTTCTCTCTTTGATTACACAGAAACAAATATTCGAGTACGGTTACTCGCACTTGCGCTGTTAGCAAAGAGTCTACCCTTCAAAATGAGTTACGCACTCTATTTTACTCTATTTTTGGTGTTAATTCCATCCAATTGAATACATCATAGTGAAAGAAGAAATACACGTCTAGTCATAGCCGCATGCGTTCAACGTACATACGACATTTGAAAGTATTCTATTTTCTAACAAAACACTATAAAAAATATGTCTGACGTTAATTTTGCCATAAAAATTATTTTTGAAACACTTTTCATAACTAAAGTCACAAAAAATTTGGATTTTTGTATGTGAGCCATGCCTTAATGGCATGAAACTTTGTACAGGTTATTTTTTTCACAAAAATATTACATTCGGGGGGTTTGGAGAAATTTCAACCAAAATTAAGAGTACCTCCCATACAAAATATTCGTTTTTGAGCCAAAAAATTTGTATGGAAGGTACCCCCAATTTTAATTGAAATCTCTTCAATCTTTCAGAATGTTATTTTTTTGTGTAAAAAATGGTCTGTGCAAAGTTTCACGTCATTAAGTTAGCATACAGACATGGCTCCCACACAAAAATTGAATTTTTTTGTGATTTTTTCAAGGAAGTTGTATCAAAAATTGATTGTATCTCAAAACTAACATTGGATTCGGTTTTCTCGTGCCAAAAAACCTGCCAATACATATTTTTGAGAGTTTAAGTCTACATTAAATATGACTTTTGGACGAAAATTGGACTCTTTTTCATAGGTCACTGGTTCATCACTCCAGGCATTACATTTTTTTCCATCAACCAAAGTCGCTCACAATCTAATGATTTCTATTTCTCGGGTCCCCCAACCATCCTGTGAAGTCGGATTTTAAATAACTTCTGTGGGGCGTGAGATAATCGATGGACAAATTTTGCGTACGACGTACGACGTGGAACAGACCCACAACAACCATGCTCAAAACGGCCTGATTCGGGTTCTCTGACCTCAGAAACGTCCAGAAAACATGTTTTTGAGGTTTCGTAAATTTTGACCTATTGCAATACTTTCCCCTTTCACACTAGGTGTGTGCGGAAAAGTAAAATTTCTACAATTTAAACATTTTTTCGAAGAAATATAAAAAAATAGTGAACAAAAGATTGAGCTTCCACCTATGTATGAGTGTTGGTCCATTTTTTTTTGAAAAACGGTCGTTTTGTTCGAAAATTCCTGGAAATTAACAGGCGCACTACCTCTGAATTTGAATTTTTAACAATTACTTTGTTTGATATTTATTATGTATAAAATTTATTTGTGTTTTCTTACAAAATACTGGTTACTGGGATACTATTCAATGATGAAGTTTATTCCTCAGGTCTTAATTTCCAACATTAAACCGCGATTACGAGCCAATGCCAAGAGAGAACTGTATTCATCAAAATCAAGGTCCAAATGTCTAGCATCAAAACAAATGTTCTGTGACCTGCGACCTAACCGCAGGGCTTGTTTGATTCCATCAATTGTGACTTCTGTCGAAACGACCACCAATAATTTCAAAACTGGCAAATTCTGAATGATTTGCGCGAGCATTTCATCAGAAATCTCGGTCACCACAAGTTCGTCGATCGATTCAAGTTTTATTAAATGCTCAACATAATCGGGATTGGCTTCGATCCACAATTTTTCAAGTGGTACCACATTTTCGGCAAATGATTGAATCAACGATTTAATTGAAATGCCATAATTGTAAAAATGCAGACTTTTCAAATGCTTAAGTCCGCTCAATGCCATAAAATCCAGATCGGCAAAATTAAATCTTGTGTAAAAGATTAAATGCTCGATCAATGTTGTTCGCTGGCCAATATATTCTAAAACTGATTGATCTATGTAACGATTACATAATTTCAGACTTTTGAGCTGTGGATTGCATGCCAGAAATTCGAGTCGTACTTTTAAATTGAGGTGCGAAACAAATACCAATTCAATCTCTTCCAACTTGGGGAACTCGCGTCCAAGCCAATCAGACTCGATATGAACATCATAAAATTTTAAACTTTTCAACGATGACATAACGTTTAAGGCATGAAATTCAGCATTGTGTAGTTCAAACTTTTCGAGAGCCTGGAACGATGATCGTGTCATTGAATCAATATTGAAGTCGGCAACAATTTTTAGTTCTTTTAATGTTTCACCACAAAAATCAGCTATCATGTTGATATCTAGATAAAAAGATCTGGGGACATTCAAATCAATTGATTCTACCAAATAACCGAAGACACGCAAAAAGCTGGGCAAATGTTCCAGTGACAAGGTACTTGGAGATGATTTATTTTCAGAGATTTTGAGTTTTCTCAAGCTTTGCGGAAGACATGTTTTCACATTTTCTTGGAATTGAACACAAACTGCGGCTACGCTCAACAAATTTTCATCAGTTTCTATTCGCCGCACAATTTCTTTAATGCAATCATCGTTAAGAGCATTTAAAATGTGTTTTGGGGAGTCGCGTGGCGGCGGAATGTTTATGTCATCTATTTCCATTTCTTGATCAAAATCAACGGCAATTGAATCGATGTTGCTGCAGTCATTTTTCATCGTAATATTGCTGTAAATCATTTCAGCCATGTTGGATGTTTCGACACTATTGAAAGTAAAGAATACTTCAATTAAAACATTTACTGAACAAAATAAATTACGCTTTAAGTTAGAAAACTAGAATTTTTGCTTTTGAAATTACTATAAATTAAAAAATACCCAGTACTTACCGAACTCGTTATTTCTTTTAAATAAATTTAAAATAATGTTACACAGAAAAACTTTGAACGAATGAAACAAGAGAAGTAGATGTAGTCAATTTATATCCATTGGATTTCAAGGGACTGATGTTGGACTGTGGGACATAACATTAAATTAGGTTATCTAATGACTTCATAACGACTTCGAAATTATGAAATTCATGCTTAATTAGTTATTACTGGCGACATCTTGACGTCGAAAAACATAAATAATAAATTCGAACAATGTTCCAGGTAACAAGGGTTGCAGATAGTAGTAAGAGAATATGTCATTAAAGCAAATGAAGAGCTTGGAAGTACTCGTTTCGTTAATATTTGAAAATAGACTCGAAAATGATTAATGACAATGTAACATACATGGACCACTTAAATGGGTTTCAATTTATTTCCAGAATTTCAAAGTCATTCATTTTTCTTCTTTCGTCCGGAACAGTCTTGTCTAAAATCGATTCAAAAGGAGCTAGTTTAAAGCAAATATACCTTCATAAAAAGTGGGAAAAAAGTTTTTTACTAAATAAATATTTTCCTCCATTTATTTTCAGCATCAAAATGTGGTGGTTTATCCTAATCGTCATACTCATCGCGATCATTGTTGCATTCGTGAAAATGAAGAAAAAGTTACTGAAATCGCTTGAGATTAAGCTGAGTGAGGCAAACGGCGAATGTGAATTGGTTGAAGTCTTACCTTGGCACATTATAAACGTGCTCGAAGGCGGTTACATTCAAGTAATCTTACTAAAGCTAAAGGACGTGAATGACTTTTTGAGTGCGGCCGAAACGTGCATTCGTTTTCAAGAAAATGCCAAACAATGCTACCCATCCAAGTTCAAATAGATTTCCATCAAAAATATTGCCCACGAAATTGAAGTAATTTTGCCATTGGCACATGTGCCAAGTTTTCTACAGTCGTTCGGTCATTTAATTCGATGCCTAGAGTTCAATGGTCATTCGGTTGAAATTGATACGCAAAATGACATACTCGAAATGATTTCGAAGCATTGCAGTGATACGTTATCCGAATTATTCCTTGACGACCTCAATGTCAATTTAGAAGGATTGTCACAATTTAAAGCGCTCAAAAAACTGAGTATCAAACGTGTCCCGATGACAAACATGGAATTATCTTCGAATTTAGAAGATGTGATATTGTCCGAAACTCGGTTTGATGCGAATGCCAAAGGACAAGAATCTCCGAATTCGTTTGATCCAAATGTGGCACTTATTTCCTTTTTACAGCGAAACCAACAACTCAAGCGTCTGACAATTCGAATTTGTCTGGATATTAATTCAAATCGTCTCAAGTTAGGCGAACTCTTGCCAAATCTTATTGAATTCAATTCCTGTTTCATTTACAGATCTAAAAGTGAATATAAGACTTCATTAGCGAATTTGAGCCAATGTCATCAGTTGAAAAGTTTAACTTTTCGGTGCCACAATTACTCGACCAAACAATTTATCGATTCAATTGCCGGAAATTTAATGTCGATGCAAGAATTGGCAATCAATGGTTATCATCATGGATTGAAAGACAGCATAAGTGGATTGGCAACATTGAAGCAGCTCAAAAAACTTACATTCTTCGGTCCGGGTGGCGTTTATGGCAAATTGATCATCGAAATAGTCAAGAACTTACCAGGTTTGGAGATATTGAAATTTAAATCTCTTCGCTTCGATTTGGAAGAAATAAAGGAAATTCTGAAATACGGTGAACGACTAACTCAACTCAAAATACGGATATACAAAATTGACGTCGATTTGGTGAATTTTCAAAAGATTTTGACTTTGAATAAAACTCATGTCAACGTTGAAATTCAAATTGCCGAGGGACAGATCGATGAAAACATCTTTAAGTCCAACGAAAAATGGTTGAACATATCTCGAGTAGAATATTATTGAAAAAAATGTATACTGTTCTATGAAATGGGAATAAAAAAACGCCAATTTTATAAGTTACTGTTACTTTTGTATTTTTTCTGAAATTTCATAATATTAAAAAATTCTATCAAAAATACCAAACTTTAGTTTCAATTAAATTTATTCACACAGATTGGCAGTTTATGATTTATTTGTAAATAAGAAAACAACACAACAAACCGATTTTAGTTCAATGAAGCAACGGAATTCATTGAGTGAATAGAAGAGCAGTGTTTGTGATCACAAAAATCAACTGCAGATTGTAACCAGTGCGATCATTTAGTTACCATGGGGATTTAGTTGACTCTTCAACGATATCAGTTGAAGATTTCAAAGATTTGATGTTCACTGTCAATTTGCTCACAGGTTTTTTCTTCAAATAATTTTTGACAAAATATTTCCCGAAAAAAATGTAAACAAAAATCTGGTTTGATAAAAGTTCAAATAACTTGTTTTATTTGTTCACACAGACACATAAGCAAAAATCGCTTTATTTTTATTGACTTGTATGACATTAATTTAAACAGAAAAAGCTGCAAAATATTTAAAACATAAAAACTGGTTCTCTCGATTAATACTACAAAATCTCTTCTTACATCACTTTATACTTTTCCGCACACCTTACATTCCTTTCTTATAAAGAATTTACTGCTTATAAAAAAGAAACTTGTTATTTGTCGTCTAACATTAAATTTCAGACATCAATTTCATTGTTAAAAGCCGAAAAAAAAAATAGTTTTGTCACTTAACTACCAAAACTATTTTATCACAATGGTATTTTTTGGCACGTTGACATTTTCATCCAATTCGAATGAATTTCAATGCATGCTTTACATTTGCCGGCAGATCGTATACTTTGTACTCAGGAATATCGCATTTTTTACATTGAAATACTGGTGCTGGTGGTTTTTCATCACTTGTGTCTGGCGTAAGGTCAAATCTATTTACTGTATCTACTGATGAAACTGGTGCTCCAAAAGCATTTCCCGCTGGATTATCTGCAAATCTTGGTGGTGTCGCTGGTACGTATGGTGGTCTATACGGTTGTGGATAATAAATGTCGTATGAATGAAAATATGGATCATATGGTCTCGATTGGAAATTCGTGTACGGCACCCGTTCATTGTCCTTATCTTTATTTTTCGAACCCTTTCCAATCGCTTCTCCGTAGTAATTTAGAGCTGTACTGAACATTGACACAATGCCCAAAATTGTGAGGTACTTCACAATCTTCAGGAACAAATGCATGAGACGTTCGGGTTTTGACATTTCTTTATTGCGCTCTTCTCGGTTTGCATCATTTTTTGGATGCGATTCTATAATTTCGCTCAACATTTTCGCTACTTCACTCTCCATTTTTGCTATTATTGGTCGTTTCCAAGAGATTTTAAAAGTCGCGTTTTTTCGCAAAAGTCTGGTGGTTACTAAATAGAATTTTCGATGAATATAAAGCTAAATCTATGCGCGAAAAATCAATCTAAAAATAAAAGGAACGAAAAATGTCAGGAATTCAGTAAATAAATCGATTGCTATAAAAATATCATTCACCTTCAATTTAAATTATTCCAATATGTGACTAGCAAGCTTTCTTGCTGAAAAATATAGTTTAGTTGCAAAATATCGCAAAATGGCCAAAAACGGCGATGCATTTATTTATTCATCTCACTCTGTGCAATGCTACATGATGAATTTCATGGCGCCAATAAAACTTTAAATTAAACACTATTTGAAATATATGTTAAAACAGCATTATTTGTAAAATGCACTATGAAAAAACAAAATGCATTAAAATCTGGAATTTTTTTTGCACTAATGGTTTTATGTTGAACGCTTGAGTTTAACTGATATGCGCTGCTTTGTGAACGTCTTACTCAATATGCGATTTCAGCATTTGCTGCAAAAACTGGTTTGAATACATATGAATATTACATGTATTCAAATTCAACCTTGATATGTGTTGCTCTCGCGGTGCTCTTTCGACTTGTTTGTGTAGTGAAACTGCCACTGTGAATCACAACACTGTGAACGACGTTCGCTGTGAATCACTATCTTTTGCACGGTTTACGCGCTGATTCATTGGAATTAAAAGACAAGTTTACACCCAATTCCAATTTATGACAGTGTCACCAAACTATTTATTGTTGTACACCAATTATTCTGATCAAGTGTTTTGGTTCTTATTTGTCGGAGTTTGCACGCAATCATGAAAGGCATTGTGGTCTCTGTATATTTGTCTCTACATTGTCCGATTTTAATTTAAATTCGTTCGCCAATAATAAATTCCATGCTGGGAATAACACAGATGATTCCGTACAAAAAAAATATTTGTAAACATTGTTTCAAATATGTAAGTCAACTATATGTAACCTATAAGACCTTGAAGAACCTATAAGAAACTTGTGTACCGATCAAGGTGATTTTGTGAGAAGAACTTGATTTTGATACAATGTAAGCGATTTTGATACAATGTAAGCGTAATCATCTGTAAAAGAATTCAACAATCTTTATAGAATTGATAAAAAACGGTCGATAAATTGAACGGATTGAAAAGTACGTTGGAATCCACACAACTACTCCCGCTACAGCAACTAACACTAACAAACTACCTTAAAGTGTCACTATATGTGTTCGGAATAACTCCAAAGGTCTCCGGTCTATCACAACATTTCTTCAAGAGATATGATTGATTTTGAGTTATAAATATACAATTTTACAACACTTACAAGTGTTTTCCTCATTTCAGTTTATTTGAGACTGAATGAATATTCTCTTATACACAACAATTAAAATAGATAGACCGTAAATAATTAATAATAATATATTTGTATTGCTGAGAATGTAAATACGGAATCTACCTACTGTTCTCACTTATAAATGTATCTGCGAGCGAGAGCAAGAAGAAGTGAGATTCGTTAATTCAATTTTATTCCCAGCGACATCATAATAGCACACAGTATAATTACGTATCATTCGTATTGTGCATTCACATAGCAAAATATAATGTATTGAATTAGCGCCAACTGAACGCTTGGCATTCCACTGCCTTTGCGTTTTGCTATGAAGCGAAATTGATGTTTCGTGCAATTCTGAGATCTTTGCAATTGTTTAGCTCATAAATATTGAACTTATATGACATTTGAAATTATAATAACACTTCAAATTGTGAAGAAATAAAGAAAAAAAGTTTTTAAATTTAAAAAGATTTTTGCGAAAATGTTCTGCTGTGAATATTTCCAGAGTCGACTCACAAATTTTCTTTCTCTCGTTTGAAAATATTTGTTCTTTGAACGTTTCAAGTACATATTCTTTGTGAGAAAGGAAAGTGGGCCAAATAATTCGCAGAGAAACATAGCTCAATTGAGTTAGTATGGCATATGTTATCATTTAAGTTATTTTTGATACTTTAACTGGAATAAAACTTGACATGTGCTGGGCAATTCGATACAGACAATCAATTTTGGGTGAGTAAAACTTCGATTTGGGAGAAATATTCCGACAAAATATTCAATGAATCTAAAATCAGCTTCAATGGTATGAATTTATGCTGAGACTGGATGCAATCAATTTGGCAAACGAGTCAAAATCTTCTCATGAATATTCAGCATTGAAGAAGAATCTTTAACAAACTTTCTGCGTCCAATCACATTTACTGTTTTTCTACACCCCTCAAATTATTGATTTAAAAAAAAGACAAATGACAACTGCCTGTAAAGGAACCACGAAGAATCAAACAATTGAATAGCGACTTTGAATTATAAAATGTTCACAAAGCATTTGAATATCGGACAACCGGTATATCCATTCATTGGAAATGCTCATCTCACATTTCGAAAAATAACAACCGAAATGTTTAACGAAATCAGGGAATTTACAAAGCATACCGAAACACCGTACAAATCTTATATTGGACCAGCTCTACTAATCAATCTCGACAGACCAGGCGATTTGAAAACAATACTCACATCACCATCGTGCTTGAGCAAGCCGTTTGTGCATCAATTTTATCCGAGTCCAGCCGGAATTTTAACAGTTAGATGTAAGAACTTTGATTTTACTTTTCCGCACACACCTAGTGTGTAAGGTAAAGTATTGGAATCGGTCGTTTTCTGGGTGTTTTCGGGGTCGGGGAACACAAATCTAGCGTTTTTTCGATGTCCGAATGTATGTGTACCCTGTACCCTGTACGCAAAAATTTGTTAACACCATAACTTTCAAACCAGAAAAGTAATTCAAAATCTGACTACACAGGTTGATTGGGGGTGCCGAGGAATAGAAACCATTAGATTTTGAGCGACTTTGGTTGATAGAGTGAAGTGTCATGTCTGGTGTGATGTCCATGGGAAAAATTCAATTTATCTTCCAAAAGTCATACTTTATGTTACTGAAACACATTTTCACATGATTACGATATCATACAGGCATTGAAAAATCTATTAAAAATTATTTGTATCGCAAAACTGATATAAGATTCAGTTTTCTCATGAATTCATATTTACGGTAAAAGATACGTATTAATAATAAATGCATGTTGTGGATCACAGTGCGGAAAAGTTCATCTTACGTATGTAAGACATTTTATTTTTTACGTTTTTGTTTAAATCTACGTCTTCATTTAATGTAGTCAGTCGTTCTTATTTCATCAATTTACACTTATCATTCACATTCAAAGCTTCACCATGAAATTTAAAATATTTGCTGTTAATTCACATTCAATGATCAAATTCATTAGAGCCGCGTGTATGGAAGCCAATTCGTAAAATGATCAACCCAGCCTTCAATATGAAGATTTTGCAATCATTTATGCCCATTTTTAATGCGAAGACAGATAATTTTGCTGGATAATTTGAGCAAAGAAGTAGATGGATCGACTTTCAACATTTTGCCGTACATGAATTCCTGCACGTTAGATATGATTTCGGGTAATTGGTGCTCAATTTTTGAAATTTCACTTAAATCGTGTATAAAAAGGTTCCTTTGTAATGAAGTCGCTGAAAATATTTTGAATGTGAATCGTTTTTGTATGGAAAATAGGACCTAGCTCCGAAATGTTCCATTGGGTGGTTATCTTCTTTTCATTAATCAGATGAAATATATCGTTTGCCGCAGTTTGTGTTGCATTGAAAGGGATGTGGTCGTTAATAGCAGTTATTCACTGATAGACTGATAGACTTTTGAAGCAATGGGTTTTGATTTGGAAATTCAGCAAAACAAAAACAGCGATTTCCTCCGTGGCATTGAAGTGTAAGACACCTTCCATTCTATCTGATCACTTTTCACAATAAAACCTCCAAATACATTGTCTTATAGGCTATTTGAGACCATCGTTAATCGTTTTACGCACATTTGGACCCAATGGAATTTGATTATCGCTGGAGAGACATGTATTAAGAGGAGCAAAAGCATTTGAATAAGTTACACAGTTTGACGAATCGGGTACGTTCTTTAGATCATTTTTTTGATTTCGAACATTTCTTTCCACTATTAATTTTTCTAGGCTTCGTTCCCCGCATCATTTTGAGGAAAACTCTTTGATTAGCGAATCAATCGAATAAAAAAATGGCTTATCTATCTCCTTCAGGTATTCAAAATAAAAAAAGCCGACTATGATGCTCGCGTCAATCCCGACGAGCATATCATCTCCGAAGATTCGTGCGAATCGTATAAAATCACCGCAAGTTTTAATCGATCAATTACTTCGTCTGTTGCAATGCATCCAAATGTTCAGAAAAAAGTATATATGGAATTGCGAACAGTTTTTGATGCTCAAAATGAAGAGACGTCATACGAACACTTGCAACGGTTAACCTATTTAGATCGTGTGATCAAAGAAGTGATGCGTCTATTTCCAGCCGCACCGTTAATTGCAGCCCGAGCTGACATTCCAATCAGCAATTGTACAGTACCGAAAAATGCATTCATTATGATGTCGATTTATAACATGCATCGAAGACGAGATATTTGGGGTCCAGATGCTGATGATTTTAATCCTGATCACTTTTTGCCAGAATATATATATTGCTGTCACTTTGACAGGTGTGTTGTTATCTCTTATCAAGTCTGTGATTTTTTTACAATTATTAAATTGAAATCAATTCGTCTTTACTTAAAATTATCTGTAGTGTGTGCATTAAATCGTTTCTCATTTGAATCATATGAAGTTCAGTTAATTTTCTATAGTTAAAACTTATATTTTACTGTTTTCAAATTGATTGACTGTGTTTGTGTTATCTCATTATAAAAACAACAACAACAATGATTAATGAACACGTATGTACTGACAGCTGTTTCAACAATAGAAAAACTGTGGGACGAACTGTTATTAACTGCTTTCGTTGCGATCAGACATTTAATTCGAAGTGTTTTGGTCTGACACAAAGCTCATTTATAAACTTAATCTCGTCAGAATCAAATGTTGTGTTCATCTGTGCAAAGTGTCTCGACTATATGTCAAAGAACAAAAACAACAAAAACAACCCCAGATTATCTACACAGAGACGACTGTCAACGCCATCTCTTGAAAATGAACTGAAGAATGACTTGAAGACAACAAATGACAAAACCAGTAACGGTGATAAAAATTTAGCTTTAATTTCGTCGAAAAACATTCATGAAATGTTCGATACAATTTCCCAAAGATTAACGAAAATTGAAAATATTTCAACTGATACCTGTAACAAAATAAATAAGAACGAAATTAATGTTTCAGCAATACCCATATCCTGTGATAGTGTAAATGACAAAAATTACAAGAAACTATATGATAGCATCATTGATCTGCATGCTAAATTAGATAGTCGCTTCTCAAACAATAAGACACAATCAGATCAGAGTTCTGATTTA